CCCCAAAACCCCAAAACCCCAAAACCCCAAAACCCCTGGGAATTAAGGAATGATTGGAAATTGAAGGTGGACTTTTGGGGGCAGATTTGGAGGAAGGAGTTAAGGAGCGATTTCTCTGCTGTAGAGAGTTGGTTTCTTCTCTTGAGCTCTATTAGCGAGCTTTTTGTCGAATTTTTCTTCTGAGACGGAGAAAGAGTCGAAGGAACTGTCTCCTCTGAGTTCTCCCTTTTTATAGAAATTCATAATGTCGTTAACTTTGGTTTTCACCCAGACTGGAGCAAGCATGTAATAGATGAATTGCCCTTCTTTATATCCCCAATAATGAATTATCCTTCTGAGGTTATAATTCATAATCTCTTCATCATTATGCAATAAAGTGTTCATATAGGCATGAAGACCCTTAGTAGTATCAACTGTTTGTCCATCGAACTTGATCTCAATAAATTCTTCAGGGTTAGTACCAATAACAAAGTTAATTTCTTGCCAATCCTCAAGTATTGTCTTCTTAATTTTGGCAACCATGTTACCAAGAAGGTTTCTTTTGGCCTTTTTATTAATACTTTCTTTAGACCCAGCATGGAATTCTCCATGAAGTCTTTTAGCCTCTTCCATCCATTTGTTCTTCAGGACCTCCTCGATGGTAGCCTCATATGGATCATTGTCTGAAAAGAAGGGGTCTTTTGGGACAATTTCGGATTTGCTTACTTTCTTGTCTAAAATTAGTTAAGGGCTAAGCCATACCACTTATCTGAAACTGATCTTCATATTTCAAGGGAGCATAAGCAGCGCCAGCAACAAACTTTTTGTCCTTATGAAGCTTTTCGATGATTTCTTTGTGGGATTCCCTCTCTCCTTTCTCTTTATCGATATAGTCATCGTATGACTCTGGCTGCCATTCAAATCTCGAAAAATAACCTCCGTCAGACAAAGCAGTTACTCTCGGCCTGTGAGGGAGATGAGCAATATCTTGCTTTTCTTGATAAGATTTCATAACTTTACTGGGAGCAATATGGGCTGGAAGATCTCTGAGGGAGTGGAAATTGCCTAAAAATTAGAAATCCATGCTACTTACCCACTCTCCATCATTTTTGAACTAGGTCTTTCTCTTTGTTGGTAAAATCATAGAGCATTGATGTAAAAATTGGTGTCTCAAAATGGTTTGCGCCTTCTTCAACTCCTGTACGGGCTGAGAAAGGATCCTCAGTGAAAGGCCCAAGGTACCCATTGATATTGTTGTTAAAGTCAGACATCGAAAATAATTTTCAATTTAAGTTTTAAATTTAGGGGTTTTGGGGTTTTGGGGTTTTGGGGTTTTGGGGTTTTGGGG